CAAAGGGAAAACATGATTTCACCCAGGTCTATACTTTCCTAGAAAGGCAATAGGTATTGTTAGCCATTTCAAACACTAGATAGTGGAAACAAAATATAATTGAAGATGTTGAGTGAAAAATCACTTTAATAGAATATTTGAATGTCATTTGAAATTGTTTTATGAAGGAGGCAGATAACGTTGCAAGAAAGCTGTTCTAAACAGAGGAAGAAAAGTGAGTCTATCCCAGCTGCTTATTTGACATCTCCATTTGTATTTCTAATAGGAATCTGAAACCTAATACAGTCAAAATCCCTCTGCTGACTCCACTCATTCCCCATCATCTTCCAAAACCAATTCTTCTGTCAGTCTTGCCAAATCGTGCCAAATGGAGTCTGGAGGCAAAACCTAGCAGTCACTTTTACTCTTCTCTTTCCCTCACCACATCCAAACCATGTTTTGTCTGCACTATCTACAAAATATACCCCAAAACTGTGACTTTTTTTTCAGCTCTATTATTATCATGCAAGGCACTATCACCTCTTGCCAGGATTACTTAATTAGTCTCTAAAATTGATCTCTTATCTCAGAAGTTGATCTTCACCAGCAGCCGAAGTGATCATTCGTGAAATGCCAATCAAATTATTTCACTCTCTTGCTTAAAATCATCGAAGGGCTCACAACTCTACTGGAATAAAATTCGAACCCTTTACCCTGGGATATAAGCGGGGGTAACAGTAAATCCTGGTGTACCTGGAAAATTCCAGGCTTGTACCTATTGTTCTTGTGTAATTATTCAGAACACCCCCTCCAATTGTTAAATATGTCATAGTTTGAACCATGCACTAAAAGGTTGTACATGTAAGTCTCTATGTGGACTTTACCTATCTCTCTAACTTTATATCTTGCCTCTCCTGCTCAGCTCACTCTAATGCACACACACAAGCCTTTTTTATTCCTGTTATTCAAACAAANCACGGCTTGTTAATAATAGAGCTCTGATAAGAATCATTATATTCATGAGAAACTCCGTTGTGATTTCTGTTGTTCCTCTGAAAAGGCTTCACAAGAGTGCTTCCTATAACATATCCCATACTGCTTCTGCACCCATTCTTTCTTACCAGCCCCAGTGTTCTCTGTTCTCAACTTAAGCATGACTTCTTTTGGAGAAGAAGAAATTAAAAAGAAACATTATAACATGGAAAAAAAATGGGTTCTGAATGAATAATTTTTCCCTCTTCCAATTTATATTAAAACTTGTGTGGCAGGTAATAACCTGAAAAGCTGAACTGAGTCTGCAGATGACTAAACATGTTTGTTTCTTCAGTGAGTAGAGAGATGCACATACCGATCGTAATCCATGACTGCGATGGAGAGGCTGACCTGCTCCACATTCTCTGGAGGGATGTCGAAAATAATGGCCTCATTGTACACTGGGTTTAGAGTATTTTTCTTTGTAGTTGTTTTCCTCTTTTTTAATCTTCGACCCTCACACATCAGAGACACTTTGACGTAAGGATCTAGGAGTGGGAAGGTAATTTTGTTAAAATGAAAGAAATGGTACCAAAGCATAAATAAAACTGTAGTTAATTGTTACAAAGTAAGAAAAATGGTATATCAAACCCTTTGGTATTACCAGTTTTAAATTCAGATAATTTATTTGGGGACAACAGACTCTCTGACTGCCTATTTTAAATTGAAACATTTATCGTGAATGAACTAGAGAAGAATTAATTTGATCTCACTAGTTTTAATACAATGGAGAAAACTCACTAGTTTATCAAGAGCCAGTCCAGAGCTATGTGTCTTTTAGCCATAGCTATTTGAAGACGCATTTTATTAGAAGTGATTTCTAGGGAATGTAACCCTAACAAGTAAAAATAATTGTATTAAAGTTTATTTCCCTCAAAATGATTTAGAATAAGAATACTAAGACTGGTGAAAGAGTGACATTATATCCAAACAAGTATATATGATCATAATGAGCAGAAATTGGAAAGCAAAAACTACATTAGTTGGAATTTTCTTCAATTGTTGAAAAAGGTACTAAAATTAGAGGTTTCGTTTTACAATTACAGAGCTGGTGCTTGAAAGGAGCTCAGACTGAAGAAGTGGTCACTACAAATCATTATTAAATGTTCAACGGTATACAACAGAAAAGGCAACATTTGGCTTAAAGATGGCCACAAGGAAGATTCTTATCATGACATTAACTATGTGATGCCAAATGGAAAGAGAAAAATTTAGTTGGGCTATATTTTTATGGGCCAAAGGGATCACATAATTGTTAACAAGTTCTGCTCCAGTTGACTGATCTCGCTACCTTTTTACTCCTGCCACCTTAAGTATAACAACTTACAACACTATAGAAAATTACATGGTATTATACAACAGTTTCTTTTAAAGCCTTCCTTTTTTTGTATAAAAAGAAGCCATGGCTTTGGG